TCCGCTCCTCCTCAAATGCTCATGTCTGAATCTTGTGAGATGATGTCATTGTACCATTATGACATCACACTCAAACCATTTTCAGCCTTTTAAACAGAGGTATTGCCAATAGATAAAACAGATTAAGGGAAAAATAATAATAATAATAATAATCTCTTTTCCCTTGATTTGTTTCACCAAATATTTTCTACTTAAAGATGCAGTCAGTGATTTAATCCAGATGCCTTTTTAAAAATATTGTGGGAAAACGTCCCTAAAATCTAAAAGTATGGTCAAGTTATCATTTATTTTCAAATAGTAGTGGAATTGACCAGATGCCTATGGTCTCCAAAAATTAATAACAAATATTTTGAAGCGGACCAATAAAAATAAACCAATGGGATTCGTTCATCCCCAACGAACCAATGGGATGAGTTTACCCCTTTCACCCTCTTCCCGTTTCCATCCCGTTATCGGATTATCTAAAACCTAAAAGGGCTGAACAGAAAAGGCCAACTTCACGTTTGCCACCCACTCTCCCTGTTGTGACAAAGAAAAGAAAATGCTGGATGTTTGGTTTGGTGGAGAGGCGAGGGGAGGGGGGAGTGGTTTCCAGTTGGTGCTACGGCTAAGCTAACAAAATTGCTTACTGCACCTTTAAGATTTAATGTCCCATTCTAAACATTATAAAAGAAGGTCAATATTCTCATGATATTACCTTATAGCCATAAACAATGCATGATATTTCTTCTTTAAGTGTTAGTCCTTACGTGTTTGAGAGAAAAGCTCTGGATATCAGAGAGACAGAAGCCCACTTAAGGGTCACACTTGTTGGTTGCCTCTTATCAAGCTTTTTTTACTGTACCTCAATCTTCTTGTAAATGTATCCTAGACATTATTATTTAGAATTGTCAAATTCCAAATGCTGCAGGAGGCATCTACACTGCAAAAAGTGATAATATTTAAGGTATTAATTTCTTTAATCTGGTGGTTTTTTGAGTACATTCTGACTGTGCTCAGACCAAGATTTGCTAATGGGACAAAACCATTTAGTCTTAACTGTTGCATTTTTTTTCTCATTTCAAGGGAGATATTTCTTGTAAACACTCTAAAATAGTGTTTACAATAATCTAAAATAATTGTGCTTGTCCCAATTGGCATATCTTGTTTTACGGCAGTCAAAAAATGTGCTCAAATTAGGATACATTTAGCCAAATTTGAGCAATTTTTAACTGTTTTTATTTTCATTACTTTTTGCAGTGTTGTCATGAGGCAAAGACCATATTATTATAGAAACACAACATTATTATACAAATGCTGCGCGTTGTTCTTAACATATGCCTTTAAGGAGATGCTACTTGACTGGCATGTACACAGCGGCTTGTTGAGTGCTCTGTGGCCATGGAAACAGGAAATGAGTCCTTTCAGAGCCTGTATCTAAATCTTGACAAGAAAGAACACTGAGATAACATATTGCAGTCAAATCTTCACAAACTATATTCTCTCAGTGTTTTATCTTGGTCATGATTCGAAACACACGCTGGGCTCAAACATGGAGCCACACGGGAGACGGCTGGCAGATGTGGAGGGTGGGAGATGCTTAGGCCTGGGTCGCCAGCTGAGTGGAGTAATTGAAGCGAGGTACCCCACAGATCTGGGCTAATTGCCAGTACAGTCAGTCTAGCATCCTTCCCCTGCAGGAGAAAGACCACAGCGTGAGTTTGACCCCGCGCTCAGTGGAATGAAGGTCACTGGGTGCAAATCAACGCAAACACATTCATGCGCTGGAGCTGACATTCCAAGCGTGCAAAAGAATACAGTTGCAACAATCTGAAACCAGACTTTAAACACTTGACTACAGGGACCTCACAGGGAAACAGAGCGAACGTGGAGGGCCTATTGATGAAGTTGCAGTGGGTTGAGGAAAAATAAAATAAATGTTATGTAACTTATGATTAGTCGTACATGTTTTATTTTTTTATTTTAATTTTTTATTGAAAGACCACTGCAAACTAGCAGACAACTGTGAGGTGAAAACAAAATGATAGAAATTAACCTCACAATTAAACAAAGCTCAACTATGTAACCTAACTTAAATCCTGATTACAGATATTCTGTGATGGCCTCAGAGATATGTTTGGAGTGTAATAGCAACTAAACATCATTATGAAGTCCAAGGCACCCCACAGAGGTTAAGGATGGAGTTGGGGCAAAGATTATCAAGTCACACAAAGATTCCCCACATCTCACAGGGCACTATTCAATCCATTATTCGAAATTAGAAAGAGTATGAAATCACTGCAAATTTACCAAGACACCTCGGCCCACTTATTCATACTAACAAGCTGAACAAGGAGAGCACTGACCAGAAATGGAACCATGTGGAACTTGATGAATCTGGAGCAGCTGAGGAATTCTGCAGCTGATCTGGGGCAATTGTAGCCTACATTCAGAACAAAAACCAGGCCTTCATGGACACGTTGTAAACTTGGTGCATTTTTTAAACAGACCCCATTGTTAAAATTATTGCTTTTCTGTTTTGTTTTGTTTGGTATCTTGTGCTCCATACCATATAAGGTCATAAGCAATAAAGAAAGAAAGAAAGACTATATAATAAATCCTGAGTGCGGTGGTTGTGCGTTTGGTGACGGGCAGCTTGTTTGGTGTGGAGCACATTGGAGCGTGTGGAAACAAGCCTTCGGCTTTTTGCCGTGAGTTTGGGGCTCTACACTTGGGGTACGTCGCACATTGTCCAGCCTTTCATTTTTGGCTCATCTACGGTATTAATATATATTTTGTGGCTCATATGGTAAAAAAATATTTGCTCCAGACCCTGAGCTGCAGCTGGCACAAGCCGAGTACCCACACTGCTCCTGACGTCAGCCTTAGCGGCATCAGGATGGTTCAAATGCAGAGGATAGAATTGTCCTACGGGGATCAAGTGCACCTTTACCTTTACCTTCCCCTCCTCTCGCTGGCCGTGAGTGTGTGCCTTTCACTGGCAGGTAAGCTACAAAACTAGTTTATTGCTCAATTAGAGTTTTGATATTCATGCCTTTTCTTCTTTTTCTACTCTTCGTGTGGCCCAGAACCAGGGCTGTCCCCCTGGAAAGGAGACGCTGTTTTGTGCAGCTTTGTCCACCTCTGCAGTAAATACTAAGAACCCTCGAGTGCGCACAGTGCGTGGCCTTCTGGCTTCAAAGCGTTCTTGTTAAAGGGCACGTCCCGTGGCACATGGACACTCTATAACAATCTTTCTTTTTGTTCATTTAGGTTTATTCTGATGGTTTTGTGTGTTTACATTAATATTTTGTCCATTTATTTTAGCTTTGCATGCTTTTAGCATGGCTATTTCCTTTTTATTTTACTTTATTTGCAATGCTTGCTGTTTTTGTTGATTTGATTGCATGATTTGTTCCATATAATTTACTGCTCTTTGTTTTTTGTTGTCGTTGTCCCATGATTCGCCACCCTTTAAAATATTTTTTACCATTTTCTTATAGGCCTTTAATGTTTTAAAAGTTATAAAAACAAAACTTCTCTCGTCTCCTATGTACACAACTTGTGCGGCCTTAATTTATAATTTTTTTGGTTGGTTCCCAGATCACCTGGCGTTGAATTAGTTTAAGAACCCTTACGTTACATACATATGCTCCTTATAAAAGTCGCAGTGGAAACACAAGACTCTGCAGGAATCATGTGCAGTGGTGAAAAGTGCAGTCCAAAATACAGTCCAAAAATGGTTTAAACATCAAACACAAAAAGCCCGGCATTCATTTCAAACATGTTCTTTATACAAACCATATGAGTGGCATCGTGTTATCCTCGCGATATGATATAGATTATTAGGCTCATGACTGTAATGAGGTTAAATCCTCAAATCCACCTTCAGTCTCACCTCTGAGCCTCTTCATACCGCCTGAGTATATTAGCTTTACCACATGGGTATTTGTTAATGCACTCGCAAACACTCACAACAAATCAGTTTCCTGGTCATGTCGTGAAACCACCCGCCAGCTGTGTGTAAACAGTATCCGAAATGACATGTTTAAGCGGACTCTATCCTTTCTCCTATATTGGAACAGATTTATGCTTCACTCTTATTGTGCATGCATAAACACATGTTGCGCCTTGCCGCCAATCAACTCTGATGGAACTCAATTAATTTCCAACTCCACTGGGTCTTTGTTTCCAGGGCCACAGATTTAAAAATGAAATGACAAACTCCAGGTGGAATTGAGTCATAAAAAGCAATATTTAAGGTGTTGACATTGATAGAGAGGTCACCCATAATAGACTAGCTGAGTGGTCCCTTTGCACGGAATGAGGGATATAACGGATCCTGCAAAACAAAATTGACTACCTGCATCATGCCATGGGCCTAAGGTGGTAATCCTCTTGTTTCTTGATGTCCCACAGTTGGATGTATCTTGTCTGTTCCCCAATAGCCTTGGATCAATAGGCAGGCAGCAGGGGAGGGACATTTCTGTGTCTCTGTTACCGCTTTAAACCAGACTTATGATGCTGGGGAGCAACACAAGCCTTTCATCCTTTATCTCACCACAACGAGAGGCCCAAGGAACGACTCAAGGCGAAACAGTGAGAGGCAGGCCGAGAAGCAGGCCGAGATAAACCAGGTCATTAACATATATCTATGTTATTGACTCTATCTCTTTTAAAGTTTCAGAGACTTTTTGGCTCTTCCAGATCTATTTTCTGAAATACTTATGGGTTAACACCAGACCAATTTTTTTTTTAATGTGATTTGGCAACAGACATGCAAAGAACAAATTTTGATGTTTAGTGAGTTTAAAATAGTGTAGAAACCTGAAGCCCTTGGTACGATGTAAATAATCAACACAGCCCTGTTGGATGTCCAAAACTAAGAACAACGGACCAAATGCTGCAAACTGTTATTTTATGTGGCCTATAGTAAAGTAGGTAATAGGGCATTGTATTCATATATTTATACCTCACTGACGTGTACGAGAAAGCTCTAGTGCAAAAAGGACGAGTGAGTCTTAGATTGCAGTTTTGACTTTGGCTTGTTGTTTTACCCACGTGTCCCGGGAGATGGATAGCTTGCCATCAGGGTGGAGGTGCAGCTTCAGAGAGTCTGAGGAGAGGGCAGAGTAATCAGTCTTGTAATACGGAGTGGGACAGGAGCAGTATTTGGGAGGGGCCTCAGAAATCGACAAGTAGGTGCTGTGGGCATAAACACGGTGCCAGTATAACACCAAAATAACACTCAAGACGATCTCAGGTCTTAAGAGTGTGTGAGCTAACATTATGCATTATTTTTGTCCATTACATATATTAATATTAATGAGACTGCTAAATTTATGTATGTACAGTATTTAATGAATGTATTAATATATTTATTAATCAAGGACAAAGCAGTCATTCGCAGTTACAGCAAAAGATGCAACTAATGTTACACATATTTATAGTAAACCCAATTCCCAACTCTATAGTTGAGCTTTTCCCTGCAGTACATTTGTACATAGTTCTTTGGACCAGGGTTTAAAAAGACCACTTGATTTAAAAGAAAAATATTTATTATAAAATAGGAAATAAAAGAGAAATAAAAACCTATGCTAAAAGAGGGGTTAAAACAGGGCTTGAAGAGACTAAAACATGGCAAGAAACCGCTGCTACTGCTCTGTCCGGTTAAATGCGCGGCTCCAGCTCTCCGTCCTCTGGCCATGGCCTGGGCCGCCAGACCCCGGGGCTTCCTCCCCCCTCCCCATCGACGCCTTTTGTACCCAAGTCACAGGTGTTTTATTTGTCTGAGTCGCATGGGGAGCTGGGGTGCTTCGGTTGGTGCAGTTCAATAAGATAATAAAAACACAAAGCATGGATAATATAAAAATATAAAACCTTAATAAAAACCCACCAACCATTTTGCTCCCACCAACATGAACACAATATACAAAACCAACTAATACACATATTTCATGTTTTAGAATGTGAAATTCTAAAGCTTAAGTGGAAAATATATGGTGAAACAAGTTTGAAGTGTAAAAGACGCTTTCCACCTGAGAGTAAAGGAAAAACCTTTTTACTCTTACAACTTGATTGTACCTTGAGCCAAAGCAAATTCCTGTAAATTACAACTTGCAATAGAAATAATTCTATATGCAACCAGAGGAAGGAGTGGAATCGTTTAATGAGAAGATGTTCTTCAGTATTTTCAGTTGTCATGGACATCATTTCATATGCCCAAAGTTATTCCTGGGTGCTTTTTGGTTAAAGAGGAAGATAACTACTTTGAGTTTGATGTCATAGTGATACAATTATTTTACAGGTCTGAGAAAGGAGCTTTTAGACAAAAAGGGTGGAGTTAGTTTTTGCTAGAAGTTCCTGATATTAACACAGGATCTAAAAGCTCCAGGTTGGGTTTGGAGGTGGGAACAATGTTGTGACATTCTCAAGAATGTTGATTTAACATGCTATATCTCTTTTAAACCTGCAGGTGAGGCGTAAGGGTGAGATGATTTGTATCGTGTGGTGGATATGCCATGGTGTTCAGGCTCGCTGTGAGCTGAAAGTTAATGAGTGGTTTCAGTGTGGAGATGTTTATTTAGGGGGCACCAGGAAGTATCTAATTAATGCCATCCCAGCAGCCTGTTGAGCCCTGACCTTCTGTTCAAAGCCCGGCGCTGCCTCCTCTGGCTCACCCTGGCTGGGCCGCCATCAGCGCACTGTGAATTATTGATAAGAGTGAGAGGAGACAGGCAGTATATTGGGACTGCTCCATTGTAAGTGCATGTGTGTGCGCTTCAGAAAGAAAATGAGCTCATCGGAAGTGGGACGGATCTATAATGGGAGGGTTACAAGAGACTGACCCCGAGGGCGGCCAGTGTCAGGTCTGCAGAGAGAGCAGCATCCACTCATGGGGGACTGGGATCAAAGGACATGGGAATATGAAATATGAGTTCAGTGACTTTATCAAATGTGTGAGTGATACTGATACCCAGGTTTTCAATATTAATGTTAATATGTAAAAAGGATCAATATCAAGAGATTATTTTGGGTGCTCATGAATGCAGAGGGGTGTTTGTCCCCCAGGGATTGGGGAACTTTTCTCAGTTGCTGGAGGATGGTTCTTCTTGATGGAGACTTGTGAGGGTTGGTGATGCAGCTCAATTCTATGTTAAATGGGACAGTGTGTATTAATGAAGAGCTTTGCAGTAAATAAACCAGATTGTAGCCTTGAGCAAATTTCCATCCGTTGTCCCAGTTGCGCTCACAAACACACACTCATCCACCCTTAACCATTGTTGTTTTTAGTGGTAGCTCCACACAGAAAGACCACTTCCACAGATGGAATTGAACCCAGGACTTTCTTGCTGTGAAACATAAGTGCTCACCACTGCTGGAGTGTCGTAGGAGTCTTCAGCTGTGATGAGTGTGTCCATCAGGGAGAAGAAAAATCCAGGGAGGGAGAAAAGGATAACGTTGCCTATACTTAAAATTGTGTAAAATTGTGTTACTAAACTCTTTCAGAAAATGTTTCAGGACATAAATTGTCATGAACTGTCATGCACGCTGCATTAATTGCTTGTAGGCTTTGACATCTGTGCTATAATTGCATTAAAATTCTGCTTCCTGTGGTTAGCATTATGCGTGACTAGTGCAAAAGATTCAATAAGTGGATGTAGAAATCACTGAGCCTTTAGAGATATGCGATGTAGTCTTTCACTTAAATGGGAAAGCTGCAATGACATGACATGCTGATTGCCTCCAGTTGACATTTTGGAGTGAAAAGAAGTGTATTTATGGGTGTTGAACAAACAAGACTTGGAGGTTTATTGTCTTTGCTTATCTTACTTTCCTGACTGGCAATTGGACAACCTTATGCTATAAACAAGTTCTGTATTCATCCAAATGTGGAGTGCACAAGAAATAAGTCTTATTACGCCATGGGTGGATCAATGATCAAATCATCCTCACACATTATTCCAGTTTCCCCTGAAATCAGGACACACAGAATGAACAGAGGCAGCAGTAAATGTGCATTTCTCTGCAACAATGGATTTGAGGCTCAAAGTGCGGAGTAGAAACTTTCCCCTTGCTTACATCGAGAGAGGCACCTCTTGGGACGCTTGTTTTTCTCTTTTCATCTGAATGTGCCTCACTACAGATAAAACTGCAGCCTACTATAAAAATCATGGGTGATATTTTATTTAGCTGTTTATGAAGGCTATATTTTATGGGACAAAAGTATCAATTCCACCATACATACAGTGAATGAAGAGGTCATTTGCCAAAAACAGATTTTGTTAAAATGTGTTAAGAAGTTGTATTCTTCTTGTTACAACCTTCAACATGTTTTGTCATTGGCAGTAAATTTGAAAGAAGGAGTGAAATGTACTTGTATGGCACTAAAATGTATCGGCCTTTTCAGTTAGAAGTTATTCAATCTGTTGACACCCACATGTACGTATGTGATTGAATCTCATTACATGTAAATCTCATTACATTTCCAGAGGGAAAATCTGTATAGCAGCAGTAAAATGATGTTACGTTTACAGTATCAATGTGTGTTGAAATGCATACAAAAGACTTCTGAAATGGAAGCGGTGACAGCTTAAAAGAGGTTAAGAAAACTGAACTCTTATATGGAGTTTTACTACTGAGTGTTCTTGTGGCCAGCATGCGGAAGCCAGACCTGCATGTTCAGACCTCTGAAGCTGTGCAAAGCAGAATATGGTTAGTGCTGTGATGGGAGACCACTGGGAACACCAGGTGCCACAGAGTGGCAACTGCTGCTGTAAAGTGAGAAACTGTCCTTGTGTCCTTAGGCAAGACACTTCACCCACATTGCCTAGAATGAGTCTTGGGTGTGTGTGTGAATGGTTGGTGGTAGCTGGAGGGGCTGATGACACATACTGGTTGCCTTGCTTCTGTCAGTGTGCCCCAGGGCAGATGTGGCTACAGTAGTAGTTTATCACCGTTGTGTTTGGAGCGACACAGAAATACATAAATAAATAAATGAAGAAATGTAGAAATACATAAATAAATAAATGAAGAAATGTAGAAATACATAAATAAATAAATGAAGAAATGCAGCAACACAGAAATACATAAATAAATAAATGAAGAAATGTAGAAATACATAAATAAATATATGCAATAAATGGATAAATAAATAAAGGAAAAAATGTAGATTTTGATAAATAACCTAAATAAAAGTATATTTATTTGATTTCAGAGTAATATTTAGCATATCAATGTAAATATTTAGTTTTTATTGTCCAAAATGAATGTATTTATTAATATACTCCTGTATTTATTTATTTATTTATACTTTAGTCATTTTTGGTCCTCCATAAGAATGATAACATGTGAACCGTCTTGAAAAGCACTATATAAAACCGATGCATTATTGTTTTACCGTATGTTACCATATATTTTATAATGTTTGTAATTAAGTATGAGTTTATGTCTTTGCAGAGCATACATTATATATATGGTGCTATATGAAGAAAAAAAATAACTTGATTGATTGAACTCAATAGATTTAACAAGATAAACACTTTACTGTGGTTGCTGTAAAGTACTGTGATTATTCAGGATTTTAGTGCCTTGTGTGACTTTGAGTTGCTGTGTATAAATCGTGCTATACAAACTTGCTAGGAGTGGAGAGAGTTAATGACGAGTTTACATTGGGAGGTAAAAGAAAGAAAATAATAAAGGACAAAGACAAATCAATGGCTGTTACACTTTGTCCAAAGTGGTTCAATGAAAGAACAGAGCTGGAACATGATGCACTTGAGGACCAGACTTCAAATGACAAGTGAGTGAAAAATGCTTCGGTCTTTTCTTAGCTGCTCACCCCAGACTTTCTCCGCCAAACGGTTTAAATCTCAGAAGGAGATCAAAGTGGCGGCAGCAGCAGCATAACCGATGCGGCACAAGATGTTCTGTCTGCCCGCTTTTAGGACCACCATCATAGAGCACCAGGCTAATCTACCAAGATGTCTGCTGGAACAAAACCTGCACACCTGTTCAACTAGAGTCATCTGATGCACATGGCCGACTCGGAGCCAAAATGAGACAGTCTTCTTCAGCTTTGTTTGTGTCAAAATTGTTTAGCTCCCTCATTTACATGTTCAGGACAACACTTTAAATAAGTGGTGCTTTTTTTTTTTATCTGAAGGTGAACTTCTGTATAGACTTAGGGAATGATTTCACTTTTTAATGTTTAGCAGAAATGCTCAAATAAATAAATAAATTCAATAAAATAAATAAGGTATCGGTGCCTTTTTTAACACTCAAATACAATTCACATGGCATAATTTGTTCGCTGCACTGTGGTGATAAACAACTACTGCAGCCATCGCTGCCCTGGGGCATTTTGACAGGCTAGGTTACTAATCTGTGCGACCGCAATCAACCATTTACAAGTACCAGACTTTACATTGTATTGTGCCACCTGGTGTTCCCAGAGGTCTCCCATCACAGTACTAACAAGAGCCTGCCCTGCTTAGCTTCGAGGTCTGATGGGATCAGATTTTGACATGCAGGTGACACCTGGAGTGTGGGGAACACTGCTCCAGACAAGTTGCCTCAGGACATCAAGGGATGGATGGAGGGAGAGGACAATTTCACTAGACGGAGGACTGACCTTATGTACGTTCACTTAATTTAACAACGTAAAACAACAACTTAAAGCTTTACTTCAACACTTTACTTGTTCACAAATAATACACAGTGTTTGCCCCAACAGAAACACTCTTGTTAGAGTCGATTTTCTGAAAACAAATCCAATTACAACATGTTGCCTTTGAAAACATGTTCTTCTTTTTGTATCTTTTGCAAATTTGTAAGAAAGAACCTTGTGAGTCACTTTGGGCCAAGAGTGACAAAAGATGTGACAAAGGCAAAAAATACATGCATGTGAAGTATGGCCAAACAACATGTGTCATTTAGGTATCCCAGCTTTAACATTCACCCACACATGCAAGATTTTCCAAAAAAAGTGTATAATATACTGTACCATACTCTCACGCCTTTGAAAGGATGTCAGCGATACACCTCGGTACCAGACTGTCTAAACGGCCAAATAACCTTTTAGTTTCACCCCAAATTGACAACTGTGTGAAAAGGTTCGGCTCCAAGGCTGACACGCGGCTGACAGTGATGAACAGCGAAGCAAAACAAAACCAAGGAGAAACCCTGACGAGAAAACAGCAAAGGTCTCTGGAATAGAGCTTGTTTCAATTGAAAAGGATCGGTCTGCTGCCTTCATGTCATTTGAGAAATCTGACAGCTTCGAAGCATCAAAGTTATAGCTCGTAATTGGCCGAGGGTGAAAGCGCCTGTTTGCCCAGTGCAGGCTGCGTTCCGACTGATTTCATTCTGAAGTTGCACTACCAGCGTTCATTATTGATTGCTTTCACTCATATCTGACCACATGTTGTCCCACGGAGACGCTTGGTTTTCCCCGACTCATCCCTGGGGTATACTGAGGTGTTGAGAGACAGTCTGACGGCTGAAACCATGGCACTCAGGCCACCTACTGTCATTTCCAGTCTATGGCGCTACTTTTTTTCTATAGTTCTTTGATCCCTGCGGCTTATATGTCGACGTGTATGTGTTGTTGTGGCTCATTTAAAAACGTGATATGAACGTTTTCTGACACTGAAGACCAGGGAGACGCAATGAATGAACAAAACAAAAATGAATATTCGTCTCTTGCAGCACGTGACCTCAACTCAAGCTGATGACATCAGAAGTGTCTAAATAATGGGATTGTCCCTGATATTAAAGCTGATATACCCGTTTTTAACTCAAATTTTTACAGTTGTCTTTTACAGTTTTGAATCAATTTACAGTAACATAACATTTTAGAATTACTCTTTTAGACTCAATAATTTTATCCTTAGCTTTTTAACTTAACTTTTTTACACATGGTCTGTTTGAACTTTGAACTAAAACGATTTGATATTTTATACTTTAACTTAAACACTTTTTAGAATGTTATCTGTTTTGGCTCTCACATATCAGTCTTTTTATTGTTGTCAGAGTTTATGGACTTATTAACCCATCAAGTTAGTAGTAGCTATTGGACACTTGTTTATCGTCGGTGAATGAGTCATGGAAGTGGTTAAGCTGATTGTCATTAAATGAGGTCGTGACCAGCTACATTACTTATATTCAGGTGCGGCCTATATGTGGAAAAAACATTTTCTTTTAAAGGTTTGGCTTATATAAAAGGTGCGCCTAATAGTCCAGAAAGTACGACACCATAATGGAGAGTGGCAGTATGCAGGAGACGAGGGATGCAGGAAGGTAAATAACGGTCGCACACAAATCATTTCCATTGGATTTCTCAGCTGCTCCAACGCGCGTGACAAGGATGTAGAATATTTTATGTCTAGAAGTAAAGCAAAAATAATATCCTAGCAGCAAAAATAATATCCTATCCATCTACAGAATGTCCGATCCAAAGAGGTTGTTTATTGCTTATTGTTAGTTCTGTATTTTTGAGACTTTCATTTAAATCTGACTTCAGAGGAAATGTCATGCATTCAAATTTTTGTTGTCTAGGGTTATAAATACATTTGTTTCCCATCCTGTACAGTGGATGGGAAACAAACCTTTCAACATTTCGCCACATTTCAGGCTTCAAACAAAGATATAAAAATTAAATTTTTCGTCTAGAATCAACAAGTGGGACACAATCGGGAAGTGGAACGAAATTTATTGGATAATTTAAACTTTTTTAACAAATAAAAAACTGAAAAGTGGGGCGTGCAATATTATTCGGCCCCCTTGCGCTAATACTTTGTAGCGCCACCTTTTGCTGCAATCACAGCTGCAAGTCGCTTGGGGTATGTCTATCAGTTTTGCACATCGAGAGACTGGAATTCTTGCCCATTCTTCCTTGCTAAACAGCTCGAGCTCAGTGAGGTTGGATGGAGAGCGTTTGTGAACAGCAGTCTTCAGCTCTTTCCACAGATTCTAGATTGGATTCAGGTCTGGACTTTGACTTGGCCATTCTAACACCTGGATACGTCTATTTGTGAACCATTCCATTGTAGATTTGGCTTTATGTTTTGGATCATTGTCCTGTTGGAAGATAAATCTCCGTCCCAGTCTCAGGTCTTTTGCAGACTCCAACAGGTTTTCTTCCAGAATGGTCCTGTATTTGGCTCCATCCATCTTCCCATCAATTTTAGCCATCTTCCCTGTCCCTGCTGAAGAAAAGCAGATCCAAAGCATGATGCTGCCACCACCATGTTTGACAGTGGGGATGGTGTGTTCAGGGTGATGAGCTGTGTTGCTTTTACGCCAAACATATCGTTTTGCATTGTGGCCAAAAAGTTCGATTTTGGTTTCATCTGACCAGAGCACCTTCTTCCACATGTTTGGTGTGTCTCCCAGGTGGGTTGTGGCAAACTTTAAATGACTTTTTATGGATATCTTTGAGAAAAGGCTTTCTTCTTGCCACTCTCCCATAAAGGCCAGATTTGTGCAGTGCACAACTGATTGTTGTCCTATGAACAGACTCTCCCACCTCAGCTGTAGTTATCTGCAGTTCATCCAGAGTGACCATGGGCCTCTTGGCTGCATCTCTGATCAGTCTTCTCCTTGTTTGAGATGAAAGTTTGCAGGGACGGCCGGGTCTTGGTAGATTTGCAGTGGTCTGATACTCCTTCCATTTCAATATAATTGCTTGCACAGTGCTCCTTGAGATGTTTAAAGCTTGGGAAATCTTTTTGTATCCAAATCCGGCTTTAAACTTCTCCACAACAGTATCTCGGACCTGCCTGGTGTGTTCCTTTGTCTTCATGGTTTTCTCTGCGCTTTAAACAGAACCCTGAGACTATCAAAGAGCAGGTGCATTTATACGGAGACTTGATTACACACAGGTGCATTCTATTTATCATCATCAGTCATTTAGGACAACATTGGATCATTCAAAGATCCTCACTGAGCTTCTGGAGTGAGTTTGCTGCACTGAAAGTAAAGGGGCCGAATAATATTGCACGCCCCACTTTTCAGTTTTTTATTTGTTAAAAAAGTTTAAATTATCCAATAAATTTTGTTCCACTTCACGATTGTGTCCCACTTGTTGATTCATGACAAAAAAATACAATTTTATATCTTTATGTTTGAAGCCTGAAATGTGGCGAAATGTTGAAAGGTTCAAGGGGCCGAATACTTTCGCAAGGCACTGTAGCAGAGGGATTATTCGACGACATTTTGTTAAGGGCTAAACGGTCGCATAACAAGCAACGACTAATAATAACATAATGACATGTTAAAAAAAGAGCAACAATGCCGAACTCTACTACTGCTACCTACTGCTCTACTCATCTTAAATGCTGCTGACGAAATCATCCGTTTAAACTAGAATTATAAGAACAAAATCGCCTGTAGAGTGCAGACCTCTGCCGACAGGCAGAGTTCTTTGAAAAAAAAAAAAAAACAGGAACAAAAAATGCTGCATCCAAATTGTAATCAGTTGTTTACTCTGCCATTTCCTGAATCATGATCAATTAAAGGAGAAGTATGTAAAAATCTGGCCAAAAGTGGTACTGCACTCTCTCTGACTCAGGTTGCCAGATGTGCAGACAAATCCAGCTGGGACCATAATATCAGTTTTGTCAACAACTCTAACCAAAAAAATTTCCACAAATATAGAAATCCTGGTTTTATTCCTTGTTTTATTAATGCCCATTGACATATTAGGATCATTTAATTTGAAAGTCTTACATTATGCTACTTTAATGCAAGCAAATTATGTTACATGAGACCAGTGAGCGGCATCCGTGGAGCCTTACACACTTCAAACTTGTTCCAGATCCCATATTTTGGCCTTTTTTAATAGTCTTGACAGCCTTTTGTGTAGATTGATAGACTGCACAGATGTAAATGTAAGATCATAACTTTTGCTTAATATTTCATAATCTGATGAAAATATGAATACATGTTTTGTATACACCTGCACCAACAAGAAATGTGAAAAATATATCTACCCCACAATCAGGATTTGCACAAGTACTTTGTTTATGCCACATAATTATATGCATTATTTATATACAAATTGAGACGATTTTAAGAAACATAATATGTAGAAAAGTACACAACCGTTGTAGATGTCCTAACAATGTGCTCCAAATGCTGCAGTGCCAGTGACGTTCAAATGAGCCTCTGCTATGGTGGAGTTAAAATGTGTCATTTATCACAGCCGTGGCGTTCACAAAGGTCAGGGGGATTTTCAGTGAGCACAGGCTGAGCCTGGGGTATCTGTCCTGCCAGTGATTGAACATGTGGGTGTCTGCACGGCAGAAGAATGACCCAGAACAACAGATGGGGTAAAGATCACCAACTCCAGATGTATGGGTATAACAAATCGAGAAAAAATTGGAAGCTGTATGTGCAAGGGTTATATAGCCATCTAGTGGTGACAGAAGGGAATTGGAACAAAGATCTATTTTTGCCAGAAGAAAAACATTGTGGTTTCCTGAGGTCTGAGACACACACCAAGCCATGTTGCGACTTCGCTTCCGTAACACCAACATCTTAACAAAAAACGCATTTGGAAAGTACCGTACTGCACAGGTATCATTGTACATATTCAAGAAAAATAACAAAAACTAGAACCACCATTTTATTTGGCATAATTTAAAATCCTTTCACTGTTAGTTCATTTATACAAATGTTTTGTTATATAAAACAATTACAGATTCTACAAATCAAGTTCCCAGTGTAAAAGCGTAGTACCACGCACACGTAGCATACTGCTCAGGGACACAGGCGCCTGTTCACCTCCACTGAGTGACATCAGACAGACGTGCAATACCACAGTTTGTCACTTGCACTTTACGTTCAACCTCTACAAAAGCATCTTCAGATATAAACCCATTTAGGTTGCTCAAATTGTTATAAACATTGTCGCTCTTCAAAAGATTATTCACAGGTCATTATTTTCCATAAACCTGGTAAAGTTAAACATGGAAAAAATGAGGAAAGACTGGCTACTGTAAGGACAAATAATTATGATCATTATGCTTTTAAAAATATAAATGTAAAAAACACTCATGGTAAGATCCTACATGAATGAGCAAACATACTTTTGATTAAACAGATTACATAATAAAATCTTGTAAACACAAATGTGTTGTTCTTTTACAAAATATTGTTGTTAGAAGTTGTGGCTTTAGATAGAAGTTTAGCACTTTTGAAAGAACGTGAAGTGTCGAAGTGTTGCAGGGAAGAACTCGGGACCCAAAAAAAAAGTGAAATTTCTTTAAAAAAAGAGCCCTTAGTTTGCATGATGTGGCACTTTTGGTTTGTGAAGGAGCACTGATGTCGTCTTTGGTTTGGATAAGGCACTGGGCTACAATAGTGGAAAGATCTGCTGCTCAACGATGAATGTGCTTTTATAAATTACATTTAAGCCTTGTGCAAGTCTGGTAATAACAATCTTGTATCTAATGACTCCACAATGCAGTGGTCATGGTCATCTGAAGTAATAAAACAATTACAAAAAGACATTAAGTGGTTGTTTTTTACGAGTGTCAACTATACCAAAATATTTAGTGATCAAATAAAAACTATTACAAAATATATTCAACTTTGCTCTTAACCAGAGTTGGGTTAAAACATGTATTGAAGGATAACATTTACAGAGTAAATTAAACAAAAAATACAGTCTCTGTTCAAATTATTTCTGCAACACGACTCAAAAGACTCAAAAATAAAGATCAGATAGAGGAAAGCCATCACACAACCCGACTTTCACTTTGGAGACCCGTAGCAGTGTGGATTAATTTGGCGGAAGCCTTATGGCACTTGCTCTGTGATTACTGTAAGGACACATGGTTGGCTGCTTTTAATGGGTTGCTTATCTTAAGGTCTGGATCCCTGGCGCGTGGCATAGAGACTCTTACATGCCCCAATGAGCACTGCACCCTCAAACGGCCAGGTTCTAATCCAAGGATATATAAGCTGAACCAAAAATACATTTGTCCAAAAGTCATTGTACCTTGTCTGGACTTATATTTGCTTGAAATTTAAGTGTTGGTCTTCTAATTGACAGTTTATTGCTGTCCAAAAAGACCTTTTCTGAATTATTGAGATGCAGAATGGGTGAGAGTATGAGGTAGTACTTATTTCTCCACCCGAACTAAGACAGGTCTCTTCTCCAGTCAAGCTTGTTTAGTTGGTCTTTATAGAATTATGGCTTGAGATAACCATGTTCAGCATTTTAACGCAAAGCAGATAAGCTACAACTCTAGAACATATGTCTGAGAAGTGAACACAAGGTTAAAATGTAAGAGAGATTAGTTCTATTGCCCACCTTTGGCAAAGTCACTTTGGTGATGACGGCAATGGCGTCAAGTCCTCCAGTAGATGGTGAATGAAGGGTGACAGAAGCTAAAACTCTGTCCGGGGCCAAGGGCTCAATGAAAAATGTTGTTAAACAGCGGTCCTCGTCTCCGGTGGCTCTCCACAGTCCAGGAAAGGAAGGCATCCATTATAAAAGCACACACTTCTTGCTATTCTTTTTTGTGACTGGGTACAAAACTGCTCGCACTGCTTCAGCAAAAACCTCCCGGACACCTTCCTGCAGGAGAGCTGAGCACTCCATATATTTAACTGCACCAATTTGCTTAGCCAATGAATTGCCTTGTTGCAGAGTGGTAGGAGCCAGACCTTGCTCCTTCAACTTCTTCACGGTTTCATGATCACTCCTCAAATCTCTTTTTGTGCCCACCAAAAGAATAGGCACGTTGGGGCAGTGGTGGGACACCTCAGGGTGCCATTTGTGCCTGACGTTAGCGTGAGATGAGGGACTACCGATGGAGTAGCAGATGATGAAGACATTGGTCTGTGGATAAGACAGGGTGCGGAGACGGTCATACTCCTCTTGACCTGCTGTGTCCCACAGGTTAAGGCTGACCATGCGGCCATCCACACTCATCTGAGCACTGTAGTTATCAAATACTGTAGGAATGTATTCTTCTGGGAAGGCATTGGTGGTATAAGAAATCAGTAGACAGGTTTTACCTACAGCCCCATCTCCCACCACAACACACTTTATGGTCTGCATCCTGCCAATGACCCCTGGGGCTGGAGCACCTGAGCACACAAACACAAAAGTGATTTCACATTTATGATATTTTGACAAAACATTATATTTATTAAACCACATAAAACAGACCGATTCCTCAGGCGTAGTAAGCTCATAGCTGATGAGAATGTAGGTGGGGCAAATTATTCTATTGATGTTATTTCAAAGATAAAGTAAAAAAAACTAATACAAATATGCTCTCTTGTAAAGAACACATGTACGCACTCACGGTGGACATTATGTGTAAAGCCGTTTAATCACGGTAAGAACCCAATCTCTTTCAGCCAAGCTACTGACATCCACATTCAGAATCCGTTACCACCCAGAGAGCTAACAAGCTAGCTCGTCGTGTTAGCAACTCAACGCAACTTACCCGTACAAGATTAAAGTTTGCGGCGGTGGATTCTTCTGTCCAACTCATCCAGAAGTCACCGTGACATTATCAGACAAAACCCCAGTGCAACTTTTAATCGCATCTATTGTTATTCGGTGACATATCACTAAACATTTATGATACTAGGCGTTCCCCGAAGGCTAGCACTTGGCTAAGGAACTAGCATTAAGTGGCTAAAAAGTTAGCTACTCCATCAACAAGCAAAGTTATTTCACGAAGATCAATTCCCAGGCTGCGCTTCACAGTGTGTGAGAAGATAAAACTCTGGCAGTAAATTAATCTCGTGAATTGGCGAATGAATTTTGACATTCTTGAAAGGAACCATACAAAAAGTTAGTAGTTTACGACTTACCGCCACTTAGATTTCGATCTCCTTTGCCTGGTTTGGGTTTGGGTCAATCACAGCCGCATCCGGGGAACCGTACAGTACGTAACACGCGTAGATCGCCCCAAAGCCTTTTGGGGACTGTAGTTTCTGCACATTACTTTTTCTCCTTTCTTTTTTGTGGTATTATTTATTTTACATTGAACAAAAACCCCATCTACATAATCACAATGTGCAAATTAAAACCCCTAGTTCACTTATTTATTTTTTTATTTTTATTAAAGCTCTAAGGATACATTAGATAACAAAACAAAAAAAACCTCACATTCTAACTTAAATTACCCTGCTGCTGCTGAGCCTGCTTTATGTTTGCCTTAACGCTCTTGAGTTGTTCCTCATCTTAATTGCGTAATGCTGTTGTTGTGGTTATCAAACTATCATCAAATGTAGAATGGATTTTTATAATGGTTTATGTAAAATATGTAAACCTAGTTGAAGTAGTACCAGTAGTACAAAAGAAATTTCAACACAAGGGGGCGATGTCATATTAAATATCCATTGAAGCACAACATCTTTTCACCTCATAGAACTATAACACAGCATTGAAAGTTACCTTCAAAAACTTGATATAAAAATAAATTAATATAAAGATAAAAAATAAAGAATGTATACACTTACAATGTTTGTATCCGCTTTTTCAGTCATAAAAGTAAAACAAAGAGACAAACACCCTCACTCAGCCAGTCAGCTGTCAGCCAAAGTGTCAAATGGTGACCCATAGAGCTCTTTCATACAAGTATGCAAAAGGTAAAATGTATTCTAATTCTAGATAAAAAACAGCATGCTGTGGTCAAATGTATTCACAATATTTTTCTTTCTCAATGCAAATAATTTGTTTTTAGAAAAAAAAATGGTAATGTACCCGAGGATATTTATTTATATCCTATATTTATATCTTTAAAAAATCTGCGGGAAAAGCAAATTTTGAACCCTATTAAACAGTGTTTACTACCTTAACTTGTCAAAGTCTAGAACACTGGTGGGTTTTCATCATCCTGAAACCCATGGACACAGACACGTCTTTGTTTGGATGGATCAATGTTGAGACCACATATGTCTCACACTCTTATGGTGGGTTTTCATCATCCTTGGAAACCCTTGATGATTTCACTTCTTTACTAGGGCAGGTTAAGAGGCCAGTTCTGAGTGACAACCGGATACTTATGGAAACAAAAGGGCACCATTTTATTGCCTCTCCCAAGAGGGTTTTGGCGTCACGATGGACTATAAAAAGGAACATTCCCACTGGGACTCCTACAGCCACAGGCACCCTCTGTCCCAATGAAGCACCCCTGTATTTCACCAAGACATTCCATGAGACAAATGTGGTAGATCCATGACAACTTAAGTAAGATGGAAAACCAAAAAACAAATATGGCAACAGCCAGTGAGACTTTATTCATCTTTTATTCAAAAACCAGACATTTGACATTTAGCACAAACCGTCATTAAAATAATTTATTGTTTTTTTTCTCCCCCGTATAAACAGGAGCTCAATACCTTTATCTACTCTGTAAAGTGCATAATATCAGCAGCCCCTTTCTGAAAAGTATACAACTATTGTGTTGTACCAGCTCTGATCTGTAGCGTGACCTCTTAAAAACAGAATTATAAAAACAACAATAATAATCCTACAGCACAATGCATTCTTCACGGTTTAAGTTGATCAACTAATTGGTCAAACTCATCCTCAATACATTTTAATGGCACGTTTTGAACTGTCCAATGCCGGAAGAGGACAAGACGGAACAAGAGGTAGAACACATATTAGAAGTGAGCTCATGTTTTTTTTCCCATCAAATTGAAAACAAATAAACAGAAATATTCCAAATAAAGGCACATCCCCTCACTTCCACTGAGGCTGAGTAGATGATGTAGTAGGGTGACCTACTTTGGCATTAGGAATACGTGAAGGGATCTTTGAACTAGCAGCCACTTGATTAGCAGGCGTTGCAGTCATGGCAGTTTTACTCCGAGCGGCGGAAATGACAGCTGTACGAACGGTCTTAGCATTGGTCGAGGTGGGGCTACAAGTAAGCCGAGGTGAAGAGGGAATCTGAGTTTCAGCGTTTGGTGCAAGTCTTTTGGTTACACGAAGTGGAGAGCCTCGAATAAATGCTGGTTTATTTAAGACAGACATTTTCTCTGATTGTTCTGAGGTCCGCCGAAGCTGGGTGGGCTTTGTTAGTCCCCGTGTCTCCATCTGGGTTGTCTTGTCTCTCGTACTGTTACTTCTTTTGACATCAACTGCAGGAGCAGTAAATCTAGTTACAGGGGAAGTCCTGAAGGATCCAGAGCGCGTTGGACAATTAGCAGTGTTTGGGTTTGCATGTGTGATTGTTCCATTTGAACTTTCAGTTTTAGACCGTAAACTTGGAATACTAGTGCTTTCATTAGGACTTGCTCGTGAACCCCTTTTTGCTCCGGTCCCTCTACGTATAGGGACCTTCATTGTCCTGGTTTGTTCCTTTGCAGGTGATCCTTCTCTCGGGTCCACCTCTCGCTCCTTCCTCCACTTGGAGCAGAGGCTTGGGGCCAGTCGAGGCAGAGGGGAGGATGGGGGCGATAAGGCGTCATAAGACCGTAGGCCTTTGACCAAAGTATGACATTCTAGCATTTCACCCACACGTGTGTAGGGTTTTACATTGTCCTGAACAGGAAGGTCTGAATGCTCTTCTGGTTGGGATTGGGTAAGCTCTGGTACACTAGAAGGCAAGAATTTCCCCATGGGGGTAAAAGCCACTTCTGAGCTCATATGTTCATTTGACTCAAGTGGCACAGCAGGTGTCGCAGCTGTAGGAAATTTTATTTGTGAATGTTCTTCTAATGTATAAGAAAAGGTCTCTGATTTCATCTCAATCTTTTGACAATGTGTTCGTCCATGTTCAACTTCTGTATAAATTCTGTTCTGAGAATGAGATAGATACAGGGATATTTCAGCAGGATTTGTCAAAGAACCAGAAAAAAAATCTTCAGTTTTCAAAGGCTGTAGTTGGTGTGCATTTGAAATGTTACTTTCTACAGCACACGTCCCTGTAAATATTGAATTACCATGCAAACCATAGGAAACATTGTTTTGGTCATGGTACGCAACATTGTAACGTTTATGGTGAGCATTCAAAGAGCTTTTGTCTGGCTTTGGCCAAACCTTTGACACTGGTGCTTGCTCATTGGGTGAACATGAAACATGTTCAGTGTTCAGAGAACCACAGACTGTAGTGGGGGTCTCATGGTCAGATGAACTGTTGGAGTGACAGCTGTTTGAGGTGGGGCTGCTTCCAAGCTCTGGAAATGTTTTTATTGTGAATGAGCTGTGCCGACAAAGACCATCACTTTGATGGTGGTTCGAGCGTTTGAGAGAGTCCACACTTCTGAGGCTCCGTCGAGTCCTAGTGGACCTCAGGTTCTGCTCCAGTAGTTTCTCAAGGTCATCTTGGTTCTCCAGGTTCTCCAAATTCTGAGGATCTCTTGCCAGGCTCAGGCCCAGGCCCAGGTCTAGTCCTGTACAAACAGCTATTGAGCGTCGCTTTTCCGCAATCTCACGTTGACGTTCAAACCTCTTCTGCTCCTTCAGCTCTCGGTCAGAATTCTCCTGTAATGGTATCCAAAAATAGACTTGTGTTAATATTGCATTTTGTGCAATAGTTAATACTAATGTGTGCCTAACCTGAACAGCTCTTTGGAAACGAAGACAAAACATATGGAAGACCCTACAAGCCTCCTCCAGTTTAAATGTGCTGTCATCTTCACAGAAGAAGTCTACCAGAGCTTGACTGGACATCCGCATACCCTCAACTTCATCCTCCACCTCCCGCAGTCGCTCCTCAGCCATCTGCAAATGTATACATTCTTTTAATATTCTGTGTAAACCAAGACTTCACATGCCCTGAAATACTGCCAGTTACCTCCAGGAACTGTGCATGCTGCTGAATTTCTGGCTCAAACTGAATATCTGCCCGCAGGGTCACAACTCTGCTTTTCAGCTTGGAAAGGTCTTCTAGGACTGACTCCATGCAGAGCCTGAGGACCATCAACAATGAAATACTGTTCCTTTTCCGGCACATCACACAATTTCTTTGATCTCAGTGGTCAATTACATATAAAAATATACAGTGCTTGGTTTTGGAATCATTCATTTCTTGGCTCAGGGTTACATATCAAACAGAGGTCTGTATTTTCTCATTTGTTGAATGTGATGTGATGAGATGCATATTGGGAAGGAACCGACCTGGAGGCGGGGCCCACATGGCCTAGTTGGCTGGGAAAAGACAGTAAACTCTGGTCCTTTTTCACAGCTTCCTGCATAGACCAACACAAGTGATTATCAAGCTATTGTGTCAAAAGCTGCAAACAAAACATGTCGGCAAGACCATGTTTAATGGTGAAAACCATAGACAACATTGTCTGAAAATCTGGGTGTGATTTTTATGAAAGTAATGAAAGCTCATTTCTTACCATTGCTACAAAATGCAGAAGATTCATGCCTGGTTTGTTGGCTTTAGTGTCTGCAAGCTTGAGCAACGAGGGAATGCGGAAACCAGCAGCATTGCCTGCATAGCCACCCTGAGAAGCAGTGCACACAGTTAGATACACAACGACCACTTCCACAGCAAAACAAATAATATCCAGCCATAAATTAGATTTGTCATTTAAACTGGCAAACTATATTTAATATAAATCAACACAGACACAAGTACTCGGCTTATATCATCCCAATCCACTCCTGCCATTCAACACAAGACAATAGAAAACAATGTCATATAGTGCCATTCAGATATAAGTGAGAGGTGTGATTTATCTTTTTGTATTGTTATTGTATTGTTTAACTTTTTTTTTAATAATTTAAATTTGATAATTGTTTTTTCATGTAACCAGGGACTACAGATGGAAATGAGCTGTGTAGCTATAATTAGGTGCAGAACATCTGTCTTTGTTGCTGTGCACTGTCCCTTTCAAATAAAGACTGAAACTATTGATGGAAGGAGACAAAAACCAGACAACACACACACTCAACACACAGGAACAAACATTCTCTGACCCTACACCTCTCGCACATCACTATATAACACAATACAAAAGTACTGTGTATGTGAGAGGTAAATGAAAGATCTGGCTTTCAAAGAGTTAAAAAAGATAGGATAAACTCACAGCATTCATATAGTTCCCTGCCTTCAGCACCAGACGCAGGATGGAGTGCAGCTCAGGACAACTCAGCAGTTCTGAAGAATAAGGAGACAGTGAATCAATGAAGTGTTCCCAATAATGTCACACACTTCTCTCCAAAACACACGCTTGAATTAATCTTCAACATGGCTCCGAAGTGCTGACAAAGGGAATAAAGTTGGCGGCTGGTTAATTTCCATGTCGTGATGATTGCATTAGCATTTTGCTCACAACCTCGAGGCTTTTTGGCAGTCTGGTTCGGATGGGCTTTCAGAGTGAGAATGGACACACTCCCTGCTGTTACTGGGCTCTCTAAAAGCTTGTCCCAGAGTAGGATAGCATACCCGTAACTCTAATCCTAATGCAATATTCTATTTACTCATGGTTTTGAATGTGTTGGGTTGAGAACGCATGATTATATATTAAATTAATGACAATAAATTATCCTCACACCCAACCCCCAGTTAAAACTTGTTTAATGTACTGTATATTTGAACTGTTTTTCACATCCATCATTATGGTTGCTAGGGGCTGTTAGCAATAGAAAGTTGTTCTTTCTGTTCGTCTTCGTAATCAAAATGTGTATGCGTTAAATGTACTTTTGTTCATTGTTTGAATTGTCAGTTTTGTAAACTATAAAAATTAGTTTTTCTGTTGTGTCTTTTCCATTTAACCAGCTCTGTACCCAAAGTTTGTTTCACTACTATCATGAAGTTTACAATAATTACAATAAAAGTCAACATTACCTTGGCAACAAACCCTAGCAACAATTCTATAGTAAACCTACAGTAAAAAAAATGAACTGCTAATCCTAACCTGATTGAGTCTTAAATCACGATTCAGGGAAAGAAATAACAACATTGGTCCATTTCTCTGTGCCTGGGACTGAATGCCAGGAGTGGAGTATGTCCCCTGCTGTTACACTTTACCTCTTGCCGCTTCCCGCAGACATCTGGCTGCCACACACAAAGAGGTCACAGCCGGGTCAAACTCTTGTTGCAGGATCATGGCGTCCAGACGTAGCCGAAAACTAAAATGGGAGCGAGGAGACAGAGTGATTTAGGGGTGGTGAGTGATAATGGAGACAAAAAGAGACTCCTGACCAGTCAACAGTTAACAGCACATGTCAAGACAAAGATCAGCACGTGCAATAAAGGCAGCCGAGAGGAATTACCCGAAAACGAGACGTACCTGGGGACTTCAACCAAGAGCAACATAAAGAGGTCAGGCTCCCCCAGACAGCTGCGCTCGCCACGGAAATTCTTAAGCCGTGAGACCTAAAGCAGCAGAAGTGAAGCAATCAGTAATGTATTGAAGTGACTTGTACTGTATTGTTCTGGTATGTACAGTTGGACATTTTGAATATGGTTCCAAGTCCATATACTGTGATTCAATGTGAAACTAATATTTTACAGACCCCGTACACACAAAGTTTAATATGACAACCCTACATTTGTGTTGATTCATGTTGATAATTGGCTCACAGTTTGTTTATGACAAAGGACTGAGAGCCATAATTGTTAAAATGACAACAAATCAAACAAAGGCATATGTCACATTGGATGTATCATTTACGAGTTTCACAGTGAAAGTTCCATTACAGAAAGAAATTGACATTTTAACAATAATTCCTGTGTTCCGTGTTTCACCTGTGTAGTATATACAGTACATACATACACACATACTGTACATACATACATACATACAGTATATACTTACAAAACCAACAGTTTCACATGTGTCTTTATATTTACAGATATCTGAAGAGTTCCTTTGCAAAAACAGATTCTCCATAAAAAATAGTTCAGTCATATCCATACAAGTGAAGAATAAGTATACGTGTGTAGGTCCTAAAGCTCGGGTACCTAACTTAAACCATATTGTTGTTGTGCTATGCATGTCTTGTGTTGGATGGGTGACGGGGGTTGGGAAGTGTCCAATTCATCCAACCCCTTTTCAAAACATGTCTGTACATTGTTGTCGGTGATTTTGTGTGCGGTGAAATTGTGTTTGTACAGGTTTTGTACCAGATTTTATTTCCGTGGTCAAATTGAATGTATCATCTTTCAAGACAAAAAGTGAGGTACCTTAGCTTTTACTTTCTTCTGTTGCATTTGTGTTAAAAGTCAACTTACCTCTTCACAATCAGGTAACAACTTGCAGAGCTCAGCAAGTTTTTCGGCTCCATAGCGGTCCCCAGCGCCCTTTCTGATATCTTTCACAATCTCCTTTGGCGGCCTGAACAAAAACATGAATTAGAAAAACTATTGTCAACGCATGGAGAGATGGAGAAGTAAACATTGTATTTATCAGCTTATCAGGCTCAGGGAAAAGTGGGAGGAGAAGGTGACACTAAACTGACGGCTTGATGAGGCAGAAGACAAATAAATGCAGACAAGTGTTTGGGGAACGCTCGGTGACATGTACAAGAAGCAGAGAAGGCGGTAATACGTTTCACTTTTTGACCCATGACTTAGCTCCTTTATCAGTCTCCGGGTTTCCTCGTTTTCCATGAGGCTCTCCCTCCTCAATATCTAATCCTATTCAGTCACACCCTGATGTGCAGCTCTTACTTTAAAAAGCCTTTTCATGTGTGATGCGGCATTTCCTGAACTCCCACACATTTGCTTGAGAAGGAAACATGACTTCCATTGTTTTTTCCTTCAACAAGCTGAAGTAGTGGAGTAAAGTATTGTATTGGAGTAAGTACAATACTTGCACATTATGTAAAATCAGTTTGAATAAAGCACTTTAATGATCTTGCACTTGTATTTAAACTGTTTTTGTTGATCGATTTCACAGTGGCAGTTGTTACTTGTTTTAGTCTTTTAGTTTTATTATGTACTTGTCTGGTGCATGCTGAGGACTTTTACAAATGTGTTTCAATGGGGTTTTGCTGCAAATGGCAAATAAAATCTGAATCTTTTGTCATGTCAACAACCACGCACAACATGGTTCTTTATTCTTTTTAAAGACCACAACAAAGAAATAGACCACTTTGTTAAAAATAAACCTTTAAAAAAAAAAAAAAAAAAAATACTTTTATTTATTAAAAAGGGGTGACTCTACAAGCTTTGCACATGATCTAGAATTGGAAGTTGGTGCCCCTTTCGTTTTACAAAACCACTCAAGTTCTCTCAGATTCCAAAAGCCACTGTATCTTCAAAGTTGCTCGTTACTTTTAATTTTTAACATGTTTTAGATAAAAGGATTGACTCATTTATAGAGAAGCCTATTTTAGGTGTAAAATGAACTGTTGATGCACACAAAAACGCACAACTAAAAGATGTAATTGTATGAAAAGGCATTTGTCACTCTGTATGCTCTATCCCTACACACCTGTTATATGTACTACACAGCTCACATCTTCTGCACCGGTCACTTTCACTCTCCAAAATCACCTCTTAAATTGGCACTGGATCTTTACAACTAGATTCACTTTGTTCAATTTGCTCAGTCTCCTCTGACTCAAGGCAACTGAACTGGATTAAAACCTAGACTTACAGTTAAACTCTGTCTTACACTTGTTGAGAGAAGGAAAATGAAGTAAAGAAAGTAATCCGATTGTGGACTTACATTTTGAATTGACGCAAAAATATTCCTATGTTCATACTGCGCTTCGAGTCCAAAAGACAAATCTGAGGAAAAAAAAAGAGGGTTAAAAAAACACGCACACACACACCCACACACAGGGACACACACATAAGATTGATGTTTGGTGAATGAAGAGAATGTGTTTACCTCCTCCAAGTCATTTTTGGGAGATAAGCAGCGCTGCAGAGTCGACCTGCATCGGAGTTGTCTGGTTCTATCCTCAGGCTTACTGTCTTTCTGTCCAAACAACTCATCCAAAGAATTGAGATCGATGGGAAACTCATCTTCATCCAGGCCTGCTCCGGTCCAAACACTCTTGCGCCCTTCGACCCGTTCTTTGGGAATCCGCTCCCAGTTTAGTTTCCGAAACCGTCGGCGAACGCTGTCCTGCAGGTTTAAACTGGAGGCACTTGGGGGAGCAGGGGGAGGAGGAGGAGGCGGTGGTGGTGGAGGAGGTGGAGGTGGTGGGGCTACTGGAGCTGATTGTGGAGCAGCCCGCACCGGATCCATGGCTGTCACATCCACAGGGTCACCATGAAGTGGCTGTGTTCCAGGAAAAGGGGCTGGAGAAGCACTCTATCAGACTACAGCTCAAAAGTCCATCGTGAGATCCAATCTAGAATGCAAGCACAGAGCAATCAGCCAAAAATCAGCAAAATCAAATGAGTTTTGCAACGCTCTGCAAGGAAAGCATATGACATCAGCTGAATGCTTCAAAGTCGTATTTGTTGGTCTCATCCAGGAGTATTAGGGCTGTTATTAACAATTCTTTGGATAAATCAATTAATGGAAAAAAACATTTCCCAACTAATTAATCAGTTGTTTAAAATCAACAAAATAAATTAAACCAAAATAAAGGGTATATTTTTATTATTATTAATCTTCATCACGGACGCAATATAATACGGTCTATAGGTAAAAGAAAATATGCAATATTCAGTATATCGCAAATAGAAAAAGAAATATGGACCATTACAGCTGCTGTACAGTCAACAGGCATGACCTCCAGGAAGTCCATCATTTGGACGTAAAGCGATGCCACTCAAGAATATCCAATTCAATTTATTTATCTATCTTAGTATAGCCTTTCCCAGAGAATATTGTTAAGTTGTCGATTTGCCAACGACAATCCAGAGAAAACAGTTCGGACACAGAAAATGCAATAAAAACAGACACAAAAGAGGGACATCCAAAGTCCAGATCATGACCCTCCATCAACAAGAAAGAAAAATACCCAGTGGGAAAAAAGGGAGAAACTTTGGAGAGTCACTTTTAGTCACTAATGACCTGCACTAGGACTGTAGACCCAGCACTGCTATTGCCACTTTTTTACTGTACATAATTATGTTTTGCACAGACTATATATTTAAACCTTAACATGTTGCACACTTCTGTCTTTTTGCCCAATCTGAGTTATTCTATCTATGCCAAATGTGACATAAAAGTACATTTCTCCATTGTGAGATCAATAAAGTTTACTTTATCTTATCTTATTATGACAATAGATGAAACATAATTGGTGGCTTAATTACAAATTAGGTTTGTTGTTTAATCAAATAACCAGTGGTCGTCATTCTTCATTTCTATATTTCTATGGGGAAACTGCTCATTCACTTCATGGCTTCAATTTTTTTCAGAACATTAAGGAATTTTCTCAGATATAGAGTAATTGAGCCAGATCCTACTCTCACTTCAGATGGTTCACTTTTCTTCATAAAGAAAAAAATGCTGTTTTTTGACAACACTATTAGAAACACATTTAAAAAAACGTCTTTGTTGTTGTAATTTTAGCTTTATCTGAGGCACAATCTATTCTTGGCATGTTCAGGTAAGGTAAACAAATGATTCAATTACAAATGTAGTTGTCAACCATTATAGATTAGTTGTGATTAATCTATTAACTTGTACTACATTGTAACACAAGTAAAAGTCCACAATGTGTCCATCTATAGTGCTCAAATGGACCACTTAACCCCTTGTTCAACTCTCAGGTGAGCTCCTGGTTTAGGGGATAGTCCAAGAGTCCGCTGAGCTTTGTCCTTAGTCTATGGTCTCTTTGAACAGCTGGAGTTCTGTTTCACCTCCACACACTCACACACTCACACACACTCACACACTCACACACACACACTCACACACTCACACACTCACACACTCACACACTCACACACTCACACACTCACCTCCAGCATGAGCCTTTCTAATTAAAACACACCAGGACCCCACACGAAAACTAAGAACCCCTAACCACATACTAAATATGACACATACATGACGCTCTGCTCACCCCGGGGGGAAAACATCTGCTACTTTGGTGATTTGCAGCAAGACGAGAGATGGCCTAGAAATGTTGCCATGTGCCACAAGAGGGCGCTGCGCAGATCGCCTTGTGTCAGTCCACCTGGCTTCGGGATAAATCCCTAAACTGAATAAAAAGTGTGTATATCTATATCAAACCGAGAGAGACCGTATTAAGGATTTATGTCAGAAATATGTCTCCCATACAAAACATTTAAATAACTTCAAATCAACAAAAAACTTTGGTAACTTGTATTTAGTTTCGTTTTATCTTTTTAGGAAGAACTTCAGGTACAATTCAGGCAGTATTTGTCATTCTTATAGATGAATTACATTTTTATTTTCTTAATATGGCGTTAAGGCTTTTTAGAACATAGACAGGAGGTATAATGCAATCATATTCACAGTACGTTAATGTAATTAAGGTCCATGTAGAGAGAAGTTAACATTTGAGACTTACCCGCGCCAAAGGGCCTGAGTCTCTCCACAGCCACAGGTAAATATCCAAAGGTGTTATTATAGAGGAGCCGTGTCCCTGGGGCCGCTCCCTGGGCCACACTCATCCCTCTTCAGACTTTCTTTATTGACTGGTCCCTGGAGTTGTAGAGAAACTTCCACAGCCCCACGTGCACGAGCAAGAGCGCGCCCCCGCAGCCTGATATGGCTTTATTGTTTCCTCCCACTTTCCCCGGGGCTGGATTAGGGGATTCAGGTGGGAGTGCTTTCCAACTTGGAAATAGTTAAAGCAAGTAATTTATGACTTTCCCCAACTTGTTTTTGTTGGTTTGCTCATCGCACTACTGCAACATTAGCACTTAAATACCACAGACTTCCTTTTGCATTTTCACTTTGTTTCTTATTTTGTATAGTTTCCCAATAAATGACAAAATGTGTCATCTAAAATTCATACTTTTCTTTTTCAAGCTTATAATAGAACGTTTTTTCCATGTATATTTACATTCATACATCATCATCTTTATATATATATATATATATATATATATATATACATATATATATATATATATATATATATATATATATATATATATATATAATGCAAATCTGGTATATAAATATATTATACACCTGTATATAAGAACATGATGTATGAATGTAAGTGTGTGTGTGTGTGTACGCACACTCAGGCTAATTTGCCAAAAACATTATTCATTTGTTTGTTGCGAGTTAGCCTGAAATGGGGTAGGAAAAGGAAAAACAAAAAATTCCTTCCCCACAAGCCAAATAAGGTTTGGGCAGCCTGATTTGACCCGCAGGTTGAATAGGCCTGACCTGGACAGTTAGAAAAAGCCATGCCATCTACAGCCCAGCCAATAGCCTGGTTTCCATACAAATCTCCTACATTTAGAACAGAAAGAGGCATGGGAAGAGCCAGGGTACAGACAAAACACACAGTTTGTTATCATCTAGGTGAAGTGAGAGAGCAGCATGTTGCAGAGTGCCTGAAGGGCTCGACACACGGGAGGCGACAAATGAGAGCGATCAGCGAAACTCAACGCTGTCGCTCAGATAATGGGATAGACACACGGGAGGCGACATCGCATCGCCTCCATTCATTTTCAATGGGACGTGCGCGACATAGCGTCAATCGCTAGCGAGCCTCCTGCTCAGCGACGGGCGAAAAACGTGCGTGTGAAATCCTCCCGCTCGTGCATGTATCGTGCACGCGCAGGTCAGCGACGCGATCCCAGAAAGTTGAAATCGGCTCAACTTTTCGACGCTGTCGTCAAGCCGCATCGCGCCCCGTCTTTCATGTTATCTGAGCGACAGCGTTGAGTTTCGCTGATCGCTCTCATTTGTCGCCTCCCGTGTGTCGAGCCCTTGACGCCGAGCGTGGGCGAAGCGCCTAGACGAGTAGCACGCACAAAAGGAGTAGTATTGTACTCCAAACTAATAAACATGTTGTATATTTACATATGTTGTCTGAAATAACAGGTCAGAAATCAAAATAGCACATGTAGACCTTAAATAAATTGCTAACATTTCCTTATAATGTATCTTATAGCCTATTTTGATTGTCGTTTCATTATCATAGTTAATATAAGGTGTGGGAAGGCTGGATCTCCAGGGGGCTATGTGCAGCGGGGGGGCGCCTGGATCTCCATGGGGTTAAGGTTAGGTTATAATATATATATATATATATATATATATATATATATATATATATATATATATATATATATATATATATATATATATATATATATAATATATGTTACAATTATATTTTATGCATAAAAAAAAATGACATGGAAAATTGTGTAATTAAAAGAATAAACTTATATGTACTTATGCATTACAATAATGAGATTAGATAAACGTGAAATTGCTTTATAAAAGTTATTTTTTGAATGTTTTCGTGCTGAAAGCCGCTTCGCTGCGCAGCCTACACGCGGAAAAAATGCGCTCGAGTTCCATTTTTGGTTTCAGGAGCGGAGGCCGCAGCGGCGCGCCGATTCCCTGCGCGCCGCCTCAGCGCCGGTCTGTACACAGAAGAGCTTTCTCATTTGCACAACAGGACGCGACTTGAAGCGCAGCTTGCGAATGCACGCGAGCGGGTTTCGAAGACGAATTCGTTCACGAATTCGTGTGCGGTGTGAAACAGGCCTAAACTACAAGACTCGGCGAAAAATACGGCACTTTGAGCGGAGAATTGAGAAAACAGAAGATAAACCTGTCTGGCCCTGAAGACACAGCAGTCTGTTTGTGCCCAGAGCGAGAGGTTAGTTCTGCTGCTGTGAAGGGAAGCTACCTGTGCTAACAACATTAGCATTAGCATCGCAGCCGCACAGTGAGAGAGAGTTTGTTAAAACTCTCACAGGCTGCAGACATGGTCTGAGAAACCACTCGCTTTTACCAACATGTTGCCATTGATAAGAGACTGATGTTACTGATGTCACATATTCATTTGTGGTGTTACTGAAACTATCAGAGGAGTTTTGAGCGCTGCTGCTGGTTCTGCTGTTGTTGCTGGTGTGTTGGACAGTGTGGACTGGTAGCGATGGTAAAAACAGGTGTAGTAACAAAGCTGCAAATGAAGGTGATGATTTTTGGACATTTGACTGTATTTTACAAAGAGACACTGCTGCAGTCGTTAAGAATGGATCACGTTATGGAAGTTGTTTTATTCATTTCAACTGAATCATGGTCAGTTTGATGCTTTCTCTGTGATAATAACATAACCATGGACC